CTATGTATTTAAAATCTGCAATTCATGTTTATAAATATTTACTCATTAAATAACCTTTTTATTCATATTAATTTAGTTAGTGAGTATTAAAATCACTTGTATTAGAGCTTAAAAATCACTAATCATTTAAAAATTATAAGTAATTCTAGATATGGAAAATATGAATATTGTAATGAAAATAATACGAATAATGAATAGTGTAATACATATAATTCTGACAATACAATTCAAGGATGGAAAAGTAGAAATAAGGATATTGATAACTTTATGAAAGACTTTCAACTTAGAGCTACTTCGTATGAGGAAGTGATTAAATGGATTCATTTTGATAAACTAAATAAGATTGAAAATATTAGTGAAGAAGGATTTAGTTCTGTATTTTCAGCGTTCTGGTTGAATGGCATATGGAAAATTGATGGTAATAGAAGAGTGCGGGAACTTGAAATTGTTGCACTAAAGTCCTTGCCTGGTTCTAATGAAAACTCTCTCCCTGCTGATCACTTCAGATGAATTCTATCAACTAGTCAGATCACTAGAATCAACTATAGCACTATACGTATGAATATAAAATATATTTACAGTATTTTGCTATAATTTAGTAATTACCCCGAGTATTATCTGGTTATATCTACTCAGGTATTATCTGGTTAAATCTACCTGAGTAGCTATAATCACTACCCGGATATCTGATTACCCATGGGTAACCCGAGTAATACCCAATCTGAGTACAAACACTAGGCTGATATTCCAAGAGAGACTGTCCTAAATAAAGAAATTGAGATTTCGACCTTGCATATCTTTTTAATCAATTAAAAAAAGATTTACATGAATGTTGAAGTAATGTCACATAAAAATCAGCTAATAAAATCGTAAGTTTTAAAAAAAAAAAATAAGAAAAATAAGCAAAATTGAAGCAAAAATTTATATCCAAAGTTCAAAGATAAGTCTTGATAAATATTATCACAAAGTAAATTAACATATATTTATTAGTCTGAATCATTTATTTACTAAATTTACAGACTTTTTAACTATCGCTATTATTACAGTATTATTTACAAAATTTTAATAATCTATATATTGTATTCATCTTTACACACGCTTCTATATCTAATATAATTCTACCATATAACTATTCTACTATCTAATACATATGTCCTATTATGTTCTATTAAATTTAAACGACTTAAACAACTACATAAAATAAAATAAAAATAAAATAAAATTAGTTACCCGTAATAATATAGATCTATTATACTTTTTAAAAAGTTTTATGCAATAAAACAATGTTAGCACTCACCTTACCTTTTCTAATTGTTACTTTCGTGTATTTTAAGTTTGTTTTTTTATACTCAGAAGATTGAAATTTTGCAAACTTAGCTCATATAGTATACTTTTTTTACATATAACTTCTAGCTCCACATTCTATATACTTATTAGTTTTAGGCATATTTTCGGAATAAAAAATATAAACTGAATCTACTTGAATCAACTGATCTTATTAAAATATAGTGCGAAAGCTTCAAGTTCACTTAGTCGATTTGTCATGATTGATAGAATGGATAGGTTACCCAAAGCCTCTAAAAATGCAAAAAAGTGTCATAAAACCTATTAAAAATTTTTTATTATTTGTGTAATGACTAGGTAACTTAGGTAATTTGAGATGGTGTAACAGTTATCTTAATTTGCAAATCATTCATTGCCTCAGGTGATGACTGAAGTACCTCAGTTAACTGATCTACAGGTTACACACCTCATCTGATGATCGATATCTGAGGTGCCTCAGTTATCACCTGAGGCAAGAACTGATATGAGGCACAACATATACATGAAAAATTCACATGAATATAATTGAAATTTAATATCAATTGAAATTTCAAAAGACAAAATGATAAAATAAAATCTTATTGATATTATATACTATATAGAAATTGTTGCTGAAAATAAGAATATATTATAAAATACAGATTTTTGATTAGCTAAAATACATATGGAGTGGGTCAGTAGAAATACACTAAAATTTTTTTAGTGAAATATTTTTAAATCTTTGAACAAAAAAAACTTTATAAAAATTAATAACATATTTTTTTAAATAAGTTAAGAAGTTTGCAGAATTTATTTAAAAAAAAATTTATTTAATTTAGTTAAGTCCTTGTTGAGTTATCTTTGTTTAAAATTTTACTTAGAAAAAATTTGGTATGTTTCTACTGACTCACCTTCATATATCTCAATAACGGCCAGTCATTTTTAATGTTTAAGATAAAAATAGCAAAAATAAAAAGGACATTATAGTAATGTCTTAGTTCAAATTTGTAAAAAGTAATTTTTTTTTTTGTGACTATACTTTTATTTTACTATTCAGACTTTTTTTCAAATACTTAAAATGGAGTACAATTTTATAAGTAGAAGATCCTTGAAGACTATGTAAATAGTCTTCCAGTAGCAAAGCGTGAGAAGGCTTTGATTAACTATGAACTATTAAATAAAATAAAAAATGTTCTTATAGATCCTAAAAACACTTCTCTCTATGATAAGAATATATGAGTTTGGGCTAAGAAACGATTTTAGCTTGAAGAAATAGTTTCTGGTGACTATCAAGTGATTGTAAAAGCAACCAATAACCCAGTATTAATTACAGAAAATATGTATGAAATTCTCTGTCAAGTTCATAGTCATATCATACAACATGGTAGTCAAAAACAAACTTGGAAAACTATAAGAGATAGATGGGGTTAGATAAAGCAAGATATAATCGAACAATTTGTAAATCACTGCACAATTTGTACTGTTCAGAAGCTGACTTTTCATCCTCTAGCTACCAAACTAATTATCGCAAAAAATTTTCTATCTCGCCTTCAAGTAACTTTCATGTTTTGTTCATACTTTATCTATATCCTTTTTTTTTTTTTTTATATATTTTTTTTTATATATTTTTTTTTTATATATACTTTTTATATATATATATATATTTTATATATATATATTTTTTATATATATATTTTTTTTTATAGATAGATCTAATCGACATGACTTTTAATCTGAATAGGGAATTTAACTATATATGTCATGTGCGTGACCATTTTTCACACTTTTTGTGGACGAAAGCTCTTACTTCCAAAAGAGCAATCGAAGTAGCAGCCTATTTGTTTGACCTTTTCCATATAATTGGATTATCTTCTGTAATTTTATAGTCAGATAATAGAAAAGAGTTTTGTGCAGAAGTCATTAAGGAGCTCATTGAATTATAGCTATTAGTAAAAATCATAAATGGGCAACCTAGACACCCCCAATCTCAAGGACTTGTAGAAAGAGCAAATGGGATATTAGAACAAAAGCTCAGCAAGTTGAAAGAAGAAACTGATCACAGTGACTGGTCATTTAACTTATGATTAGTTATTACAGCTATGAACAGTTCTTAGTGTCAGTCTTATAAAAAGACTCCTTATGAACTTGTTTATGGTATGAAGCCCTGTGGTAACTGTATATTAGTCAATGATTTGTTTGAAAGGAATATTCATGACGAAGAAGAAATTCTAGATACTATTGATATTCAATGTGATTCTGACACAAACCTGGATGATGATATGGATAGTAAGCTTTATTTATTATTAGTTATAATTATTCATTTATTTATTATTTAATGTTCCAGATTTTCCAGAATCTTTATCTCAAGAATTGAATGATGCAAGTAGATTTCTATTTGACAAATTAGTATTTGTTATATATTCTTTATATTAATTTCAGATTATAATTTCTAGAAAGAAATTCAGAATATTTATACTTGCAATCAGATAATGATGATAATAGTTTGGGTAAGTTCATACATATTATTTACTCTTTTTTTTTCTTTTTTTTTTAACTAACTAATTTCTCTATTCTCAGAGCGACAAGACAGCAACATTTTGAGTAAATTTATACAATATTTATTTTCAATTTATGAAATTCTTCATGTTTTCATTAGTTGTTTAATGAGTATAAATTAGTAGCTTACTTGCATTATTTTTTATTACGTATCTGTTCTAGATGAACCTTTGTATGGGCAATTAAACAATAGTGGCAGTTCTTTAAGTAAGTTTATTATTTTTATTATTATTATTAATTTTTTTTTTTTTTTTTTTTTTTTTTTTTACTTATTTTTCTGTTTCAGATATAAGCTCTGAA